CGCCGCTGCACCGACCCCAAGGAGGATGCCAAGCCCCACGGCCAGGATAACTGATATTAGTTACTAGTGATTAAAGAAGTGCTTATCATAGTTCCTTTCTCTTCGTCCGTGCCAGCCAGCGACGATCCCGAGGAAGGCCAAGCAGGACGAGGCCGGTGCCGTTGTCCCGGATGCCATTGTCAACCGCCGCCAGAAGAAGAAGGAGAAGACCTTCGAGTACGAGGCCGTTGTGGGCCCTGGCAAAGCCTGGGTGAAGCCTTAGTGGAATCTAGATCATTTAGAAAATTTAGGAAGTTTAGAGGAGTCCTTGAGGCCTACGTCGTGCCACGTTACGACGAACACCCCCAAAACCCAACCAAGAGCTCCGGAGCTCCGAAGGTCTATCCAAGACAGCAAGGCAGCACCAAACCCTTGACCCGCCGTATTAGGGCTTAACCCCAGACCTTGACACTTCACAACAGTGCAACTCTGAGTGACCCGAGCGAAGGGCCCGTTGTGCCAGGTGAAGTGGCAGTTCAAGTCCATGGAAAACAACACCTGGGTGGAGAAGGACACCTTGGTGAAGATGGGCTACATCAAGCTCGTTCAGCGTGAGGATGAGCGCAGCTCGGCACGATTGTCCCACTTCCTCGCAACCAGCCGCTCAAACCTTTGCTGGAAAAATGGTGGGGTGCCAAACTCCGGCTTTTGCTGAGGTCAGGCTGCCATGGCAGGACTGATGACGAAGCAGCTCACCCAGCCGGGTGTGGAGAAGCACTTGGTGCTTTGGCGGCAAGTGGCAGGAAAACCAAGTCATCCTGGCGCCATGCTGGTGCTGAGGCAGACTTCGGTGTCGATGCCGAGTCCGCAAGCCACACGCAGATCAACCAGCTCAGCGCCCCGCCCAGATAAACCACTTTGCTCAAGGGGCTGCAGAAGTGTTTTCAGCATTTGCAGCTTCAAATGCTTCAACTCATTTAAGTTTGATGCGAGGGCCCCCGCATCGAAGGTGGTGGAATGAAGGTGAAGATCGTCCTCGCGGCTGCCATGTGGCAGAATCCGCACGTGCTCATCCTTGACGAGCCACTCGGATACCGTTAGACACCTGTCGAAGAGTGCTGCCGTATAATGGTAGAAGGAATCAGCAGCATCATGCGGCCAGATGCAGTGTGGCTCCGAACACGCCAGGCCGACCAACTACCTGGATCGCGACGGGCTGGGTGGCTTGAGAGACAAAGATTACGTAGCTGAATAGCAACAGAACCTGCCAGTGGGTCTGTGAGGGCGGATGGAAAGTTCCTGCACATTCCTTCGCTGCACTCGTCCGGCACAATTGCTCGATCTGCCAGGTGCCCTGGTTCTGGCGATCAAGGATTACAAGGGCGGTGTCCTCATCATCTCCCACAACAAGGCCAGGAGGTCTCTTGCGTGCTCTCGGGAACAAGAGCAGAGCTTCCTCCGTGACCACTCCTGTGCACCACCCACAGAGAGAAAGAGAGAGAGAGAGAGCGGGACCCCAATGCCCGGCAGAAAGCAAGAGAGAGAGAGAGAGAGAGAGTCCCCCCGCGGGACCCCGATGCCCGGCAGAAAGAAAGAGAGAGAGAGAGAGAGCCTCTCGGCGCGGGGGGTCTAGCTCGCCCCCTGCACCCCGAAGTGAAGTGAAGAGAGAGAGAGAGAGAGAGGGGGGACCACTGACCACCCTTCTCCAAGAACCGTCTCACACGGTTACACTATGATGGCCAAAGGCCAACTTTCTTACACCCATCCGAGCACCAAAAGAGATAGAAACAGAGGGACCAGCCTTGTGCGGGGAACTCATAATTTGTGCCTGGGGACCTTACTTTCCTAGCTACCATCATCAACACCTTGACGTGCCACAGCGGCCAGCAGAAGGCTGGCGCGGCCGTCAATTTAAGCACGTTTTTTGTTTTTCCCAAGGCACCCAATTTGCTGAGGGGCACTCAGCCACTTCCCGATGGTTTCGGTGCATGGGCTCTGTTAACAAGTGGCACAGGCTCAAAGGGACGCAACTGGCCAGTGGTAGCAAAAGTTGCCCCCACGGACGCACGCCTTTCCCTTCGCGTCATCCGAACGGCCAGTCAGTTATCCAGCTGAGTCCATCCCAACAAAATGTTGGATGGGGTAGCGGCTAGCGCGACAGTGCGGGCTGCAAGGACTGCTTGCAGCTCAAACCCCAAGCAAAGGAAAGAGGGCTTGTCAGGCTCAGGTTTTACGTGACGAGTGCAGTCCCCACATGGGGGAAACTACTTACTGCATATGCTAGCTTTATGATGAAGGCTGGAGTTGTACTTGGCCGGGGGGACTGCACATAGCCCATGTATAGCCGAGCCATTGGGCGCAAAGCCCTTAATGGACATAAGAACCTGCCAAGACTGGCAGGTGCGCGTGCGTGCGCGGGGGGAGGGGTGACCGCCCTTCTCCTCTGTCCTGGGAGAGAGAGAGAGAGAGAGAGAGAGAGAGACAGAGAGAGAGGGGGCGGTTGGGAGGCAACTCCCCACCACAGCCCCTGGCGAAAGACAAGGGGAGAGAGCGAGAGAGGGAGTCAGCAAGTCGACTGGCTGTTCCAGGAGTTTTGCGACAGCGTGGCCACCGAGAAGTGGATCATGCAGTGCCTCTCCTTGAATAGCCACCAGGATAGTCCCCTGGTGGTCAACATTGCTCACGGAAAAGACGCAACCTACTTGACAGAGGTGCTTGTTTTAGCCGAGCAGTGAGAAAACTCTGCTCATCTCAAGCATTGCTGCCAAAGCTTCCGACATATTCCGACACCATGAATTGTTTTCCAGCAGCCTGTGCTGCGGCCTTCTGACGTCGCAGGGCAGGCCGCTTGCGCATCGAGGGCGAGTCTATCGACAACTCCAAGGATGACGGCGATGCAAACAAAGGCCCGGCACAAGCTTCAGTAAGGCTTGTCGCACTTTCAAGAGTCTTTGTGCTGGGGCGTGGGTTTGCTTTTCGTTGCCGAGGCCCTGATGAGGTCTTCGATGGTGCCGGCAACAAGATCGAAGTCAAGAAGAGCGTGGCGGGCCTGCAAAGCCCATAGAAACGTAACGGCGTTTTACTTGCAGACTGCATACCAGCAAGAAATGGAGACGACGCCGTTGGGCCACTGATGCGCAGTCATCTTCTCCCGGTAGCTTTCGTGCTATAAAATGTTAGGACCTTCCGTGTCGTCCGGTCT